AACGATTTACATAATTGTCACTGGTGTATTTTAAAATTAAAATAGGATGATGTACTAGGTTTCACAATAATATTAATTATTGGTTAGCGTAATTTACGATTATACAAAGCGATCAGAACATTTTCTGAAATTCGTTAATTAACTATTTGTTGATCCCAAAACTCTGCAGATAATGATGTAGTCCAGAATAAATGGGAGTTTATTTTATTCAGTTAGATATCCAGATTGAGAATTCATCTTGTAAACGATACTTATAATAACTTATTGATTTTCTGTTTTAATTAAAACAGAGGGCCATTGTTTTAGCACCCTGTTCTTTGAGTTTTAAAATCTAACCGTTACTAAGGAATGATGGCTTAGCTGTTCAAACACTAGACATGTAAACATTAACTTACTCCTTCGAACTTGTAAATATTTTGTTCAGTTTAGACAGCCGTTAAGCTTGTATGAATAGCCTATAAGCACAAAACATATGACTGGAAATGGGATGCATCTTTATCTATTAAGTTGCTGAGTTGCGTAAATCTACGTATAAAGCTATGTTTACATCATTTAAAGCTGAAATAGTAGAAATATTTGTGGTTACATCGATTATTTTGTTTTAACCGAATATTTTTGTTGATTAGTCTCAAATTTATCGAAATTGTTTTGAAATATCCCAAGCTAAATAAATACTTTTTTAGTTACTGAAAATTCACAGAAAGTAAACTACCTTAAATGAAAATACAATATGGTCCACCCATTACTGTTTATATACAAGGAAGTATTATACAGAATGAGCTATAACTTAGTGGTTGAAAGGTTACACTTTCAGTCAGTGGTCTAGTGGTTAAGTGCTCGCGCGCGAAGCCAGTAGATCCTGGGTTCCAGCCCCGCGTGGTGCGGGATCGTGGATGCGCACTGCCGAGGAGTCCCATACTAGGACGAAACGGCCGTCCAGTGCTTCCAGGTTTTCCATGGTGGTCTAGCTTCAATCGACTCATGATTTCAGCCTGTGAAACTGTTATTTCATTAATCTGTCGATTTTTCGTTAATACTCCTCTTCGAAACTTAATAATTTTTAAGTTTAATAATTATACTTTCATCATTCATTATATTTACCAGTCAGCTAGCTAGCTAGCTTGTTAAATAACATCTATTATAAGATAATTGACATTCTTATGCATTTATAATCATGTTACATCGATATTAAAATGTTTCAAAAAAAAAGAGTGCAATCTTCACATAATTTGTATCTTCTGGTCTATCATTTAAATGACGATTCGTATATATATATAGTGAGTAATTACACTGCTTAAGTGATGTCTTAATTATAGTACTGGTTATGAACCAATCAAATCAATAAATGCAGGTAACACACATTTGATTAATGAATTCAACGATTACAATCATTAGAATATGATGCAATCATTCCATTTACATAATTTCAAATGTGAGAACTTGTTTTAAATTGTCAGCATGAGTTTTGTAAATTAAGTAACAAAGTTTGATCCATAATTGTGATAAAGTTGATAAATAATATTTATGTCTTATGAGTATAAAGTATACTAATTGACTGTTTAGTAGTCGTTTATATTATATCCTAACGGAATTCCTAGAATTCAGTTGCAATGTACCCACTAGTTTAAATTATCTACCATCACGTATGCAGAAAGGATCGATTGGAACATAGTTTTTTTAGTGTAATCTATAATCTGTAAACTTCCGTTTATTTGAAATTGATGTTCATAGCTCTATCTGTTTATTGATTAGTTGATGTTAAACTTCTGATCATGGAGATAATGAAAAAGGTAGATATCATTTATAACACTATGCGAAAATTCAGTTAGCTTTAGTGGCCTGATAAAAATACTTAACTTATTTCACAAAATTATTATTATCATAAGCATAACTGAATGGAAACACTAATTATTTCAAAGGTAACTAATATTGAGTATATACACAAATCAACTACAATTACATTTTTGTAATTCAACATTTTTTGTTAAGGCCTAGTAAGAAATATTCCAGATTACGCTGACAGACTATGGGATCTCGTGAAATAAAACAATTTCACATGCTAAGATGTTCAAGTGTCTAAGAATGAATATAACTAGAAAACAAAATAGTTTTCATTCAAATTGATGTAAAAGTAACGTAAACAAGTAATCAGTCGTTTACCAGGAGTTTTGTATTTACTTAAAAACAATGCTGTACGAAATCATAAATTATATTACTAGCTGGAATGTTGAGAAAAAGCTTTAACATATTGTAGTTCTCTCCTTAGAAAGAAATTTCCTAACGAACCGTTATTGCTTATTTCGTAGGTTGCTAACATTCATTGTATTATTGTTATTATTTATTTATTTATTTTAACACATACATATTGGTACAAGGAGGCACCAAATACATATGCGCCAAACAAATCTCATTTGATTTGTGTGAGGGCTGTGATACTGCCTGGGTGCCCAAACCGAAGCAAGTGGTTTTCTTAGAGGGCCACACCCCGAGCCTTCGACCTGAAGGTCTGATCCACAAGGCAGTGGAGCATCGTAAGGAGATACAGTCCCATGGAAGCCGGTGACCAACAATTGGTTCATACGCCATTTGTTCCCGCAGGATACTGGAGCCCATGTGCAAAATTGATTTGATTTGAAATCCGGTTAAAGCGCCAGACATTCGCTTTTCGTCCTCTCATTTTCGTAAACAACACCCCCGCCACAAGAAGGCAGTGAGTAGGACTTCCCTGGCAGAGGCTATATATGCGTGGTTGTGTTGAGAGCATTTCAAGAGGGAGAGTAGACTCTCCCGACTCTCGGCCGTACCGGGGCATTCGGGGGCAACATAATTTGTACTCTAACTGGGTTCTGAAAGTTTTATATTGCAATTTCTATTGTTGTTATGAGTTTATACACTCAAAAAAATAAAAAAATAGAAATACCTATCTGACATTCTCTGTTTTTTAATAGTCTCTTATCTGACATAAATTTTTTGCGTTATAATTATTTTTAATTGATACAGAATTCCTATGCACTCACCTAGATACGTACATTTGTTCCAATGAGATGATAAAATAAAAGCAGCTAATTATATAAAAAAATTAGTTGTTGAATGCAATGTCTTGTTGAATAATTGGTGATTGATATTAAGTAGTTTTAATCATTAATATACTTTTAGACGTTTGATTATAGTTTGTTTTATAACAGCAGATTATATGGGTGTTTATCACAAGTAGTATGATAAACTCAATTGGTATTATTTACTTGGATCTTCCCATTGATGTTTAGGACTTCAATTGATCGGTCTCTTATTGATAATATTGAGGCAATGCGCACAGTATGCATATATTGTCAATAAGAGACTGATCAATTGAAGTCCTAAACATCAATGGGATGATACAAGTAAACAGTATCAAGTAAACTTAAACTTCACCACATTGCATAAACAAGTGGCTATCAGGAATCGGTAGCTAAGTGGTTGACTCGATGATGTTTGAAGTGAACGGTACTGGTTTCGATTCTCAGAGTGAACATTAACTCTGAGATGCAGTTACATCCAACTAACGAGTCTCAAATAAGACGAAACGTGTGTTCTAGATTTCATTGCTAGCCACTATCCATCATTGCTTAGTATAATAAGCTATTTTAGACTTTGTTAAACATAATTAAAGAACATTTATATTGTGTACCTAAATCTATTTTTTTCTAAAAATACTTGTGTTATGGAAATGTCAAACACATACTAGAATAAAAAAGCAATCATAAGAATATGAAGCCGTGTTTCTCACTTGTAAAAACTAACAATTAATATTTCATGTCAAATTCATTCATGTCAGCCCTTTTATACAAATGTCGGACTTTTATTTTGACTACAAAACATATCAACCGGCTAAATATTCCGGCAACTATATATATATATATGTCAAATTTTCCTTTATTTTCCTCGATTAGTTTTTGTTTCACAATAATCATTAATGCATTCTTATTTCCTCTGATTGCGAAATCTGGTTCAATTTGTTTATCATAGAAATAACACTAAATGTTAACCAATATATACAAGAATAAGATACTTTTTTTTCTATAATCATCAAATAAAATCACCACAAAATTAATTATAGCGTGACAAATATCTCATTTAAAACATACCTATAAACCACCATCCTTATGAATTATTTCTTTTTATTTGACTTTGCCAATCTATCACCATAGAAACGTTTTATCAAATGTACACAATATTTATTCATTTGTTACAACAATTGTTTGTTTATTATTTGAATTTTATCTTTTTAAAAATCAGTGCGTATTTCTTGGCTGTCAGTTTAGTATCATTAAGTTGATATCTGCTATTGTGATTACTACCTTGTTCAATGCTGAATCATTCTATATTTTTGAGTAATATGTTTGATATAATTTATTGGTTTGTTGTATCCTTCCGTAATATATATCATAGCCTAATTAGTTCGCTGAGATAATAAACCTTTAATTGATGTAGCACGAGTCCGAAGTTAGCTCTTTCATTGTCATATGATAGATATGCATAGTCATAGTTAAGTAGATGGTTGTGTGTATTGGTTAGTTTTTATTATTATTTTTATTGTAATCATTAATGATCTGAATTGAGTAACCATTCAGAGAATCGGTATTCTTTTCATTAGTCAGGATAATCCTTGCTTCTTTTCACAATCAATGACAATTACTCAGAGATTCTCAAATTTCACTGTATTATCTATGAAATGGGAAACACTCATTCCAGTACACTTAAGGTATAGATATAATGTTGTTGATTATTAGACTCACTTAACAAAACAAGTTGTACAGTAGAATTTTAAGTGTTATAATCTTTACCGTAGACTGTTTAACATGTCAATGGGGATATAGTTTCATACGCTAACGATTTTTATGTGGCGAATATTACCCGTGCTAGACAAGCACGGGTACAATGTTTTTGGTGTTTTTTTTATCAATCATCTATCTCCGTTATTCAGAATCTACATTAAACTTCATATTCATTAATTATAATAGGGTTTGGAAAAAGCGACAAATCCCAACCCCGGAAATTTCAACCCTCCTAAAACTCCAGACAGATCGTCTACACATGCTCACGTCAATCAAATTTTCCTTAGTCAACCTCCAAGTCCCAGTCTCCCAACATCATCAATAACCACATCTCAATCGCATTTGCACTCACCATCAACAGCATATTGGCCAGGAAATTCGTTCAGTCCATCATCACCTAATCATAGTTTACACGCTTCACAAAAAACAAATTATCCGCTCTCATCATCTTCAGTAAATGATAATAGTAATAACTTTAATGCAAACAATTTATTATCATATGCTACAAAACCTCCTGCTTCTAATTGTTCATCAACACGTCTGTTGAATGGAAGTAATGGCAAAACTCAACTACCAGTTCACAAACAGATATCCACTAAATCATCCAATCACGTGTCTTTCAACCTACACAATTCTCAAGGTGAGTTTTTTGTTCTAAAAATGGCAATACAATATTTTCTACCAGTTACTGTATCACATGTGTATTTTTTGCATATCGATGTTAATTATTACAAAGACGATGAGTTTTTATTTCATTAACTACTAACCGTCAGTTGCTTTGATAATATCGGCTGAACATGCCTATCATATTTTGAAGTCGATTTTTTAAAATTTATCATATTAGTGTTACGTGTTATAGCTTCACACATGTATAATTAAACCGGTTGTTTTCAATGCCTTAAGTATTCAACAAGTTCATCAAGTCAAGGACTTACGATAGATTTTTTCATCGTTGGGTGAGTTAGTGACGTATTATCATCATAGCTACACACTGTTTTGATCTCTTTTGTAATTACTCTCTTCATGTTAATTTCGTTTCTGAAACGTTATTGACAGAAATCTAAAGAAAATGACGGAAAATCTATTGATCATGATCTGAAGGATGAATCAATAAGTTTTCAATCGTCTAGTTAAGAACAATAAACTGATCAATTTCATAGACATTGCTTATGGTTAGATAGGCATTAGTGTAGATTTGATTTGATTATTAAATGTTATATGCTCTTTGATAATTTAGATTATTAGCCTCAAGAAATCCAAACAAGTTTGCTAGACGAAAAATCGAAATTATTTACATTTCAATCACTGAATTTACTTCAAATATTATTTCCACAAATACTGCATGCTACCTTCTAATCCACAATATATTTGATTAGAAATTGATACTTCTTCGTGAAAGAAGGTTAGGTATAAATTTACGACGGAATCTAAGACATTTGAGAAAGTTGTCTAGCTTTAAATGTATTCGCAACCATTTACCCATGAGACTACAACGACTATAATATGAATGAGGTTCAAAATGGATAATAGCTCGTAAATTTCTAATCCAAACCTTATGATTTGATAAAGCAGTTATATATAATTTGTTTCAGAAAGTTAAAATTATGGCACAAAATAGTCCTTCTAATCAAGTATGGAATTATTTTTGAACGTAAATTGTCAGGAATCTGATCTCCGAGTATTCAAGATCCGTATAGTTTTGTGTGGCAGCACTTATCAAGTTGCCAGTATCTGTAAACCATTTCTCCTCTCATAGGTTTGTGTATCTCTTTTTTAATAGTTTAATTCATGAGTCTATCTAAGCTAGGCCACCACTGAAAACCTAGAAGCATTGAATGGACTTTTCATCTTAGTGACTAGTTTCAAAATGAATTTTCTGGAGAAGCCGTGACCAGTGCAATCCAATCCATGTCGGGTATGAAGCAGTTATCCACTTCAGACAGTGGATAAAGGTTTGCGCAAGATCATGGATCGATTGAAGTTAGACATTAGCACCGTTGGATGCTAGCTCGGTAGTCTAGAAGTTAAGAATTCGTACGTGAGACCGAAGGTTACTGGTTCGAGTCCCGTGTGTGGTATCGTGAATGCTTACTGTTGAGGACTCCCATATTAGAATGAAACGGCCGTTCAATTTATCCAGGTTTCCAGTGGTTGTCTAGCTTAACTCGATTCATGAGTTCAACTATTAAAATTACTATTTTCTCCATAAATCCCCATCCTGATAATATCTCTTTTTTGATGTGATCAGTTTATTAGCATTATTAATTTCGCGATATGTAAACATATCGTCCGAATAAATATTAACACGTGTGTAATTTACATCAACAATTTATAGTCAATGCCATACCTGTTCAACTTAATCTTTTATAGTGTGTAAACGGATATTACAAATCGATTGTTTACAAAGTATCTTGTGATACTTATAGAAAGATAATATTATTGTTATTATTATTTTTTCTTTTAAAAGTGTCATAATAATTTCAGATCATGCTGTTCCAAAAGGATACAATAATAGTTACATTTGTCTCCCTCTCTCTCTCTCTCTCTCTCTCTCTCTATATATATATATATATATATATATATATATATATATATATATATATAAATCGAGGCAATCCGCACAGGATGCACATATGCCAACAAGAGAGTGATCAATCGCAGTCTTAAATAACAATGGGAAGATACAAGTAAAACAACACCAAGTAAATATATATAAATGTATCCAGCTGAGTGTATAAAACCTAAGTTATTGTTATCTATCTGCACAACTTTCAATAATAAGCGCGTTTCTGTCTTTCAAATTACTTGTATTCTCCTAAAAAAATTATTTGTTTAAAATTCTTCAATAACCCTAATTACAAATAAATAAATATCCCATTGTAAATTGTTCGAAATATATTAGATTAGTCATTCCACAGGTCTTAATTTTAAGGCTTTCACAGTAGTAACATGCTGATCTATTTAGACTAGAATTAAAAAGAATTAAGATCATTTCTTTAAAGTAGTGAGTTTGTGAAGGTCAATCATTCAGATGTAAAATCTCACCTCCAACTGACACCAATCATAAAGCCAATGAAAACTAAACAGATCTTCTATCCTAGCTTTAAACTACTCTGTGATAAACTTTACTTGTTATCCTGCAATGTAATTGCATTTGATGAATAACATTGGTTTTCGAATCCTTCTTCAGTCATCACTCTCTTTTCCATGAAATTTTACGGTAAGAAGTGAATAGTTTTGCAGCTCTACTTATGATAAAGGATCGATTTAAGCCTAAATTCAATAGGCAGTTAGTATATTATTATAACCTTAGGTTAAGAAGTGAACGTATTTAAATTTATACGAGTGATCAGAAAGTGTTAAGCATTTTCCTTGATCGATTTGGTTTTTATGTTTGATGTGAAATATGATTGATCTCCTGAGTACATGTTCAACCGACAGTTGTAAAAACAGTTTGGATTTCAGTAGATAGTTCTTAAGAATTTCAAACTACTAAATAGTATCCTTTTGGTAAACACTATTTTAAAACAAAATATTTACACTTCGTACACATGTGAAAACTATTCTTAATTGGTAAAATCTATCTCATTGACTTAGGTATAAAACATATAGTATAGTTTAGACGGAAACTAACAAACCATTGAGTTAATACGGTATGCTGGAATTGCTATTAATCTAATTAGCGGTATAGCACTATATGCTTTATTAGGTATAACAACTCACTAATCTTACTTAAGTTTTCAACCTGATAGCATTCACTACCAACGTTTATGTTTAAGAAGTTTGTAAACAGGTCATTGTGAATGTTATATTTGACTAGTTCTAAAATATTACCTCATTTTTATCGTAAACTGTATTCAACATTTAAGTGTGACGTAATAATAAGCCGAACAATTATCTGATAAGTTAACAAAATATAACCTACAAACTGAGTTTTTACCTTAACTTGGTGTCATTTTTAGTTGTATCTTTCCATTGTTATTTAGGACTGCAATTGATCTGTCTTGTGTGGGTATATGTGCAAGTACATCCAGCTGACGAGTCCCAAATAGGACGAGACGCTCATCCTGGATTCCACTGTTAACCACTATTAGTCTTTGAGTTTTTTGACCTTTTGGAAAAAATATTTGTGTCGCTTCTCTTTTTTGGTCACATTTTTCTTAATTTTGTTGTTAATCCATTTGTTTAAAATTTTGCTTTAGAGAAAAAAATACTACAAATCGTTGCCTAGACAATTTGGAATAAAATGGAGACGATTCAAATTTATTGATTTTATTTTCGGTAAAACTTTAATTATCAGAAAAATTAACACAACTAACAGTTTCAATGATTCTTTATGTCTGTCATATACTTCCATAGGTCTACCTATTGTCTGGATTTTCTATTAAGTCGCACATCAAACCAAACATTGTATCAAATAGGAAACAATTTATTTTGAATAAAGGGATTCTTTAGTGATTTTATTATTTATGGTTTTGTTTAAATGAATTGTGAAAATATATAACAAAAAGTATGAAAATGACTTGTCTGTACATTATAACTTCTTAGGATTGGCTGATCAAAATGTGGATAATGACAAGGTCTTTCATTTCACCTGTGTAGTCAATCCATGGATAATTTATAACTCACCAACTTAAGTTATGTCTTGTTTCAAGTTTTCATTCGAATTCGAACCGATTAAATGTTATACTTCGAAGTGAATGGAAAATGAGAATTATTCCTGAATTAAATTTTTAAAAAAAGATTATATCCACTGTCAACGTAATGGAAATCATACGGATTTTGTGTGAAAGTCTGTTTAATTTATCAAATGGTTCAGTTTAGGTAACGCAATACAAAATGTTATCATTCTGAACTATAAACATTTTTATTCTGATTGTAGTTTCAATAAGGCCATCCTAGAAGTGTATCATATGACGAATATCTTAGGAACTCTTCAATAGTTGTAAACATCTTACTACATAGTTTGTTTCAGAACCTCAGTTTACTCCTTTCTTTAAACATCCAGAATAATTTGTAATAATCTCTAACTATGATAACTAAGCTCTAGTATTTACAAATTTCATCTGTCAGGAGTATGTAAATTTACCTTATATTTGGTAATCTATTTAAGATTAGTAGGCAATTTTCACCATAACAGTCATATTAGTATTATTAACATCCGAGTTTGGAAAATTAACTTTCTTAAATATCTCATTTTCTCATTATTAAACTATCCCATCAAAAACTATACATTTGATCTATTACCAGGTAATTTATTTACCAGGTTATCTGTGTTCTCACATTTTTTGATCGGGAAAAAACGCATGTATTCAAATATTTTTGTATTATTTTGATTGATAAACTTTTCCATAGAAGTTCATGGATGAATTCATTCTTTGTATCGTGTTACTTTTAAAGAATATTGTCCTATAAACTATTAATTCAGTTACGTATTTATCATTTATTATTACAGGATCTTCCCAATTTGTAGTTGATAAGCTTAAAGCGGAAAAAATATTCCCAAACTATTAGATATCAGGTGAATTATTGAAAAATCTAGGTTTTGTAATCAAAATTACATAATTTATTTATTCAATAAGAAACCCGGTGAAATATGGACACCAACATAGGCGTCATATCTAGATAAGAAAACATTAT